GTGTGTAAGTGTGTGTTCTGAACTAAATTGTCCCTTTGTCTAGAGAAGAGAGGGTAGAATATTTATAATTTTGAAAACGAGTAGTAAAATAAAGTAACAAGTAAAGGTTTGCACAATTATGGAAGTAATCGTCATTAGAATCCAATTAATACAAGTACTTTTCTTTAATCAAGGAATTACTGCTCAAACGGATACTAACAAGGATAATTAAGGAAAGAGAATCAATTTGAGAAAGATTGATTTTTGACCATATAAAGGATAGTAAAAGTATAGAGTATACAATTGAGTCTAGGTACATAATATACTTAATTTGGGGAAAGGATTCGGCATGGGTGAAATATCACACCAAATAAAGGAATGGAATCAATAAACTTAAACAAATGAGTAAAATTAGGGGTTTATAAGAAAACATTGCAATCAAACCGTAACTTAAGGAAATCAAGATCAATCAAGAAGGAATCATGATTCTGCACCTCGACATATAAATAGAAATGAATGAACAGGCGTATCAGACATGTAAGGTCAAACATATTGACAAAAAAGAAGCAACCTAGATGAACACAAACATACAAAAGTGATATGAGTAGGCTAAGGACTACTCGAAGCAGGGTAATCAACAAAGTCAAGTAGTCAAATAGAACCAAAAATGAAGAAGGCAGTCTAACACATAGCAACAAGTAAAGGAGATCAGACCGACACATGGAAATAAGTAAAGTAAGTCTTGAAAAACCCAAAGTAACAAGTGAGGAAAATCTTTAGGAAATTAGGGTTTTGACAGAGTTGAGTTTAAAAGCGGTAAGAACTCAGAATCATTCAAGACAAAGAAAGAAAAGGGATCTAACCATAAAGAACCCAAATCAAAACAAGTATACATACAAAATAAACAAAGACAGCTCCAAAACCTCGGATAAAACCAAAAATGCTTAGGGTTTTCAACGCGATGAACCAGGCAGAAGTAAACATAAACGAACTATTTAAACATAGTAAAATAATAAGACAACACTGAAAATCAGAGGATAAACCTTTTAAAATAGGTTGAGGAAACCCTAATCTTGAAGACGGAGAGTCAAATCGTAAAAACCTTTGAGAAAAATGCCAAGAGGTTCATAACATACACAGATCTAAGACAGATCTGGAAAAAATCAGAAAGTTTTTAAAGTTAGGGTTTTGAAGAACCCAGAAAAAGTAAGAAAACTTCAAAAAGTTACTGATCTAGCCGGAAAAGTCATGGATCTGACTCAAACAGCCATGGATGGCCGGAAAAAGACCATGGATAGAAGTTGAGCAAGATCTGGACAAGATCTCTTCAAGATCTTTCCATGAAATCACAAAAAAGGTAACCAGGAGACATAGGAGACCAGTATACCTTTCAAACAGCCATGAGAGTCCATGGATTGAGTGAGGATCAAAGGAAATTAGGGTTGATTTGGGCGGCGGCGGCTAGGGTTCGAGTGAAGTTGTAAAGAGAATTGGAGAGGAAAGGGGATTCAAGGGTAGCAGGTTGGTAGGAAATGAATTAGGTTAGGGGGTCGTTTGGCTTTAATTTGGTAAGGGGTAACGTGGATCGTTGATTTGGGAGACCAACGGTCGAGATTAGAGAGGGTAGGTGGAGATCTGGGTTTGGGCTTGGGTATGGTGGGTATTCAATTGGGTTGGGGTTCGATTTTGAATTAAAATTGAGCTGGGAATTGGGTCTTGTTTTGGCTATAATTGAAATACAAAAGGGGCTGTTGTTTAAATAGCCAGTTTTTCCTTTTTAATTTATAAAAAATAGTAAATAGTTTCTGAAAATAAATTGAAGTGCTAAAATGATTTATAAGACATAATTAATAATTTAAAATTACAGGACTCAATTTTATGAATATAAAATCTAATTAAACCTTAAAAGGACTAATATTGCAATTATGTGCAATTTAGCTTTAAAAATACTAAATGAAATTGTAAAAATATGTAAAAATTACTTTAGCCATATTTTTGCAAAAATATAAAAATCCAATTGATGAATTATCAAAATAGTAATTTTGGAAATAACTATTGGGATTTTATGGATAAAAGGGGGAAATAAATCAATAAAAAACCTTTAAAATTATGAAAAAAATAATAAAACTAGTAGACATGCTTATATATGCATACATATGCTATTTTGAAGTTATTTTGAATATTGAAAAATATATAGGAAAAAATTGGGTATCAACAATGGTCATGCTTGACACCAACATATAGATACTCGTTATCATGCCTATACGTCGTACTCAACAAGTAAGATGTAGCAAATAAGACTCAACTCCTAATCCCTCAAGCTGAGGTTAGACCAAACACTTACCTCGATGCCACAAACACAATTAAAGCCTCTACTATCACTTTACCTCTTGATTCCACCAACAATTCACTCGTATCTACTTAATTACATCAATAAATGCTAAATGAATCAATTCTAATACATGAAAATGAGTTTTCTAAAGTTTTACCCACAAAGTCAAAAATCGCCCCTTTGCCCACATGGTCAAAACCCGAGGTTCGAACCAAAACCCAATTACCCATTCCCCCACGAACCCAGATATATAATTTCTTTTGAAATCGGACCTCAAATCGAGGTCCAAATCCCCAATTTTTGAAAAATCTAGGTTCTACCCAAAGCACCCAATTTCGCCCGTGAAAATCATTTATGTTGAGTTGAAATCATGCGAAAAGATGTTAATGATTGAAGAAAACGAGTTAAAATTGACATACAATCGATTTGGAGAAAAAGTTGCCTTTGAAAAATCGCCCAAGAGTGTTTTCGTTTTGAAAGAGAGTGAAAAATGAAAGATTTTCGGCTAAGTTATAAAATTGCAAGTTGCAGATATCGCATTTGTGACCAGGGTTCGCAATTGCGAACCCAGACTTCTGCTAAGTTCGCATTTGCGAAGAAGTTCTTGCATTTGCGACGACTGGCTAATACTGGGGGGGATCGCATTTGCGATAGAATCCTCGCAATTGCGAGGTAGGCTGGCCAGGGCTACATTTTGCATTTGTGACATGGCCCTCGCATTTGCGAACTCGCATTTGCGAGACACTGAAATAGCTGAAAATCTGCAATTCTTCAAGTCCAAAATCCACCCCGTGGCCTATCCAAACTCACCCGAGCCCTCGGGGCTCCAAACCAAATATGCACAGCAACCTAAAAACATCATTCGGGCTCACTCGTGCATTCAAATCACTAAAATAATATCAACAACTATGAATTTAGCATCAAAATTATGAAATTTCTTAAGAACTTCAAAATTTTTAATTTTTCTCAAAAACGATCCGATTCACGTCGGTTCAAGTCCGTTCCTTACCAAATTTCACAAAATTATCTTAAATCATATATAAGACATATACCGGGTGCCGTAACCAAAATGCGGTCCCGATACCATCAAGTTTTCAACATATTTCATTTCCAAAAACTCAATAATATTCCAGAAAATAATTTTCTTTAAAAATTCATTTCTCGGGCTTGGGACCTCGGAATTCAATTCCGAGCATATGCCCAAGTCCCATATTTTACTACGGACCCTCAGGGACCGTTAAATCATGGGTCCGGATTCGTTTACCTAAAATATTGACCGAAGTCAACTTAAATCTATTTTACAGTCAAAATTCATCATTTTTCACAGATTTTCATATAATGGCTTTCCGACTACGCGCCTGGACTGCTCACACAAATCGAGTTGATATTCAAATAGGTTTTTGAGGCCTCGAAATGTAGAATTTAATTTTAAAACAAACAGTTTCTGAAGGGCATTTTATGATATATTTTGCTTAATATACTAGCATGTTTTCTGACTTGTCCCCAATAAAAATGATTGCTGGTTAAGTATTATTTCTCTCTGAGCTAGCGACTCACTTCCCGCTATTTTTTTACCGAGACAACAGTTGACGCATGAGATGATTTCGTTAATTAGAGCGCACAGGTTGATAGGCCTTGGTGAGCCTCGCACTTGTTCGCGTGGGCGGAGACTTTATTTATTGTTATGGTCTTTTCTTTGAACTCTTAGAGTCGCTCCATAGTCATTCTTTTAGTGTCATGAGTATTCTTTTGTTATTATAGACTTATGTTGAGTACCGCTCTAATTTATCAAAGTTGGAGATAAATTAGTATTTCTAGCTGTTAGTGGATGGACTATTAATGGTAGATATTTGTTTGGGTTAATTGATAAAGTTATTGTTGCTTCGATTGATATTAGGATGTTTGGTTGTTGATTTGAGACAGGAAAATTTTTGATAGTCCAAAAGCAGGGAAAACTCTATCTGTTTTACTGTAGAATATCGATAAGGCTTTCTTGGGAGCACTTGCTGTTAAGCGTCAGTTATGATCCTAAATTGGGTAGTGACACATTCATTTACATAAAAAGTATTTGAAACACTCGAACATGTGTTTCTGTAATCTTTCAGACATGCAAAGGAGGTTTGGCGCATTGAATGGGCTTCTGAGGCTCCACTTTTCTATGTATATTGTTTGTCCATTGTCAATAATTTGTTCATAAAATTTTATTTGGTAGTAGGAAAATGCAAATTAGCATAGATCCGGTAAGGACACTCTTCATAAAAAAAAGATCTGGTAAGGATACTACTATAATATGTTAATAAATTTATTGTCATAGCACTGTGCTTTCAACCTATCACATTTTCTTTTTTTTCACTATAACAAATTTGACCTAAGGCAGAACTTGTACAGACAATACTTGAAAAGTATTGCCAAATGTATTTGTGGGGACACTTTATCAGAGGTGGCCTATGTCAAGCACTTTTGGATATGGATTTTAGGCAACACTTATAAAGCGTGCCTTTTAACATTAAACACTACGCTTTTCAAGTGTTGTCAAATAATAAATACTTGGCTACGCTCAGCCAAATGTAATACGGCGTTTGCTAGGGGTGATAATTTAACTTTGTATAAGCTGCCCTATATAAGTGTGCAATAATTCCCTAAAAAATTTCGCTAAAACTTTTCCCCTAAATCCTTTCCCTCCCTAAATCTTTTCTGCCCCAAAAAAATAATTATGCCCAAAAATATTCCACTAAGTTAAGTTTTACCCAAATTATTCTCGTACTTCTTCTTCCCTAAAACAGGGTTCTTGTCATCTAGTTAAGCAGATTAGGGTAGATTTTGTGAAAATTGTTGATGGAGATGCTTAATTTCTTCCCTAAATCGTTTGCTTATGGTTACAACTGCTAAAAACTTGTAAGCTTTCTATGAAATTTTTGCTTTCCGTTTAATAACTTCTTTCCATTTATTGTTAAAAATACTTCTGACAAAAATCTCTGGTCAAACAAGCTATAAGACCGCCCGACCTCTTTCCTTTTCAATCAAATGACTTTTTCTTCTTGTACTTAAACGAAAATAAGTTAGATAGCTAAATGGAAGAGAAAAGCTCCACAAAAGCCTTTTTTCTTCTACATTGTCCAAAAAGGTAAAAATGAAACCACCAGAAAGCTGTGAAATGTCAAGAAGACGAGCACGCATTACTTTGTAGTCTTGTTCTTTCTTCTCTATAAATGTGGATATTGCATCTGGTTTACGGCCCAGATTAGTTATGACAAGTTTATGTCATTTTTCTTTAAGACTTTTACCTATGTCTAAGCAAATAGATAGGTCACGAAAATGAGTATGTGGCAGCAAATAATCCTTGACCTTTGAAAATATCTTTTACAATTTGTCAACTTTTACGAAATTTGTCCACCTGAATACCTAGTATTTAAACTTCAACATAGAGTATTAGCATAGTCTGGATTCTGGATTTATCTGATATATCGATGTCGTGATGATAATTGTGAAGTTAGAAAATTGCCCAAAAAGAAAAGAGAGAAAAATAAAGAAATTATTATGCGACAAGAATCAGGGGCATAAAAGAATTGTGAAAGTCAATAAATGAGATCAATTATGAGAGCTCTAGTGCTACTGTTGTACTTTAAAAAGAATAAAAAATATTCTTAAAATGTGATTTAAAATTGATGATAGACTCTTATGGTCCGGCCCTTCTCGCGCATCGCGAGAGCGTAGTGCACCGGACTGCCTTTTTTATGCTTGACAAATTGAGATTCTCTTACACTATAATTAGTGGCGAAGCCAGAAATGTTTTCAAGGGTGTTCAAACTTGAAAGAAGCAGCATTTTTTTTTGACAAAGGGTGTTAAATATATGTTTTATATATCTAAAATCAATATTTTACTTATATACACAGTGTAATTTTTCGAAGAAGGGTGGTCAGTTGACCACCCTTTGCTAAAGGTGGCTTCGCCCATGACTATAATCAACCGATATTTCCAAGTAAATCTCCTCAGTTATCAGTGGCCCTGGTGCATGTGTAATGCTTCTAAATGTATGGAGTATTAACTGCATTTTGTCTTGGTTGTTCAGGTCATTGTCATCGTTTCTTTCCTCAGTACATGCTTATTTGTTATTTTTTGGCCACAGGTGAAGTCAACGATAATTGAACTATCCAATTGGCAGCAACAGTAATCTAGCTTCTGATTGGTAAGCCTTTCCTTACTTGCATGTCCTCTAGAACTATGATTCATGTTAATGAACTGAATTCTTTAGCAGTCGATCTTTTTATCCATTCTTATAGTCTAAAAGAATGTGATTCCTAATTGAAATGTTAACTTCTAGCTTATTCAATTTTTTTGATGCTCTGGCCATAAGCTTCTTTCTGTTGTATGCATTCCGCTTTTTCCTCGAAAAGTAAAATGATGCATATTCTTTTAATATTGTAGGGCAAGAAATGACTAGATGAAAATCATAAAACGGAGTTCTTGTTTCAAGTTGTAACCTTTATTCTCTTATTGTTGATTTTGTAAGGAGATGCTTTATAGTTGGATTTGCAAGACCATAGTCTCGTTGGCTTGTCGCCTTTATTCTGTTTGGCCCTTCCGACTCTACAATAAAAGCTTTATAGTTGTCATGTTTCTAGTATATTAACTCCCAATGGAAATTCTTAATATGGTAATGCAGAATTATATAAAATATCATTATAATATGTCGTTGTGCTGACAATTGGAATGTGTTTTCGATGTCTCTGTCCGTTTGTAGATTGATGCAGATATGCATACTTGTTGCAGATTTTTGAATCATGAAGCTGATTTTGATTGTTGATGAGTTAATGACTTCATTCCATTTATAACCTCAAGAAAACTGAATGAGATTGTCTGTGGGACCAAAAGTGGTTTGGCATATAAAGTTTGCCTTTGATTAGTGGTTATAAAATATACTAAATCTTTATATGGTTTCAGAAGCTAATACACAACTAGATGCCTAATTATCCGAAAATGTATCTTTAACATCTTTCTTTGTACGTCTAGACCAACTCACGTGCACCTCAAAAATAACTTTAACTTTCTCATTTAACCTTTAATCAAATGAAAGACGCCATTTTCAGTAGTTAGGTCGATCACAAAAAATAATAGAATATCAGTCCTTGCACCCATGGGAACCTATCTTATTCTCTGGTACCAAACTCGTTTACTTTTTACTGAAATCATTGATGTCAAAGTCGACTACTGCTCTCACAATCTATCCATTTACTGAAAAAGTATCTTTAACATTGATGTGCAGAATACTATGCAGAAAGCAAAAAATTCTGCAGTGTTTCTGCGACTCTGCACAGTTTTTCTTCATTTTAAAGCATTTTGCACACTATTCTGCACATCATCTAGGCAATTTTTGCATTTTTGCACAGTTTTTCTATATTTTCTGCATTTCTGCACATTATTTTTGGATTTCTGCACAGTGTTCTGCATTTTAGCATAGAGTTTCGGCAATTTTTGCGTTTTTGCACAGCGTTTTTACATTTTTTGCATAGTATTTCTACATTTCTATGCTGTATTTCTTGAGTTTCTGCATTTTTGCACAGCAGTTCTGTATTTTTTCAGCGTTTTAGTATTTCTGCATAACGTTTCTGCAATGTTTTTACGTTTATGCATAGTATTTCTGCGTTTTCTGCATTTCGGCACACTAGTGAGCACCCTCCACTAGTGTTAAGTATATACTGGGTTGTTGTTATTGTTTTTTATTTGCTAAGTTTTAAAATGCTTTTGTCAATTAATTTTTTTTATAAGTTGTCATCTTGGTTCTTTGATCAATGTTCAGTGATATTTTGTTTTCATCTTAAATTTAAGTTGCTGGTTCTGCAATTTCATCTTCTTCAAGAAGAGACACACATTGGCAAATTTTATTTAAGAGCGCAAAAATACACTTTACAAGGTTAGTAAAGTAATATCTAATACGTTTTTATCCAACCATATGGTTTTTCTGCTCATATTATCTTGAATATTTCAATAGAGTGGAGCTATATTTTCATGAGTAGATAACTTGATAATTTTTATATGTATAGGTTTTAATAATTTTAAAGTCTCTGCTAGATTACTTGTAGTGAACTTGAAATTGGGTTTGGCCTAAGATAAGTGTTAGGACTAGGTAAGATATTCTTATTCTCTTTATTTTTTTATTATGCTATTATTAGCCTATTACAAGAGAAATATTAAGAAGAATCACTTTGATGGGTACCGTACTATTGATTATTGAAGATATGCTAAAAATTGTCCCGCTGAGATACCAGAAGTTTAATTCCTCCAACTGATTGAGTATTGGAGGGATTCAGATGTTCAAGTGAGATTATTGTGCATTTCTACTCTTGAACATATTGTTGCATTATATTTTTTCCCCTTTTTGATTTATTAATTGGGAAACTTCATTTTGTGCTAGGCCATGTGCAAATTAAATTCTTAAAATAGAAAAAAACAAGAATGGAGGCATCGGATGGGGCTTATTAATTTTGCAAGAGTACGCGTGGCATTGGTAATATTTATTCGACACTATGTGAAAAATATGGCTTTCATTTCTTTACATACTTTTTTTGAATACATTGATGTTTGTTATTTATTTCTCTGATATAATTTGTAGTGTGCAAGTAAAGAGAACAATAAGGAACCATCTAAGTCTGAAATGTTTATTGCAACTCGTACAAAACAAAGGAAGCAAGTTCATGAAGATGCTCAAATTGTAATAGTAAGTGATGTTGCAACTAATATATTATCTGGGACTTAGATTCTTTATATGGTTCTCATAACTATTTTTTGGCAGTCTGAACTACAGAACAGTCAAAACTCTAGGAAAACATCGGATGAAGCATTTAGGGTAGTATTTGGGAAGGAGCAGCCTGGTCGAATACAATGCTATGGTATATTAGTGACAAAAAGTTCTCTGAAAAAAGATGAGGAAATCAATAAGCTCCAACAAAATCAAAACAATGATGTCACGACCCCAAGTTCACCGTCCGTGAACCATCGTGACGGCACTTAGTCTCTACGACTAGGTAAGCCTACCAATTGCTGAAAAAGAAAACAAACGTAAAAAAAACTAATTAAAACTGAAGATAAACAAGTATAGAAGAGTTTAAGATGCTGCTTGGCATATACTAATACAAGATCTCAAAACTGAACAACTTTCCAAAACCCGAAATCTTATGAAATCACAAGCTAAGGATACTACATAGTGCTCTAACTCCAGAATGTCTAAATCAAAGTAAATACAGAAGGGTTATAACTACAAGAGAGAATGGAAAGGGACTCCTCGGTCTACAGACACGGCCGATATAAATAGGGGTGTGTTCGGATTGTGTTTTGGAGGTTCGTAGCTAATTTAGGCTAGAAATGCCGAAAGGTTGAATTTTGAAGTTTCCGGTCCGATAGTGAGATTTTGATCCGAGGGTCGTAATAGAATTCCAGAAGTTGGAGTATCTCCGTAGAGTTGAATGTGATGTGTGTGCAAAATTTCAGGTCATTCGGACGAGGTTTGATAGACTTTTTAATCGAAAGTGTATTTCTAGAGTTTGGAGTTATTAGGCTTGAATCCGTGGTTGATTCATCATTTCGATCTTGTTTTAGGTGTTTTAAGGATTGGTATAAGTTTGGACAATGGTATTAGACTTGTTGGTGCTTTAGGTTGAGGTCCCGAGGGCCTCGGGATGATTTCGGATGGTTGACAAAAGGATTTTGGAGTTTGAAGTTGCAACTTCAGCTGTTGGTTTTCTGTTTTAACCGCACCTGTGAGTGTGGGACCGCAGGTGCGGCGCCGCAGAAGCTGCTCTATGGTCGCAGAAGCGGAAATGGGGAGGTTCAGCAGGAGCCATAGAAGCGGCAGAATTTCTACGTAAGTGGTACCGCATCTGCGGATGGGGAGTCGCAAATGCGGAAACTAGTCTTAAGTGAAAAGTCGAAGGTGCGGCCATTGTTCCACAAAAGCGGGACCGTAGATGCGGTAATAGCTGGGCAGAAATATAAAATTTTGAGGGTTTAGTTTCAAAAGTTGGAAATTTGATTTTGAGCTCGGGAGAGGGCAAATTTAAGAGGAAATTGAAGAGGAGGTCATTGGGTAACAATTCTTTAACCCTTTCTAGTTATATTCCATCAATCTGTAGTTAGTTTCATCAATTAATTTCGGATTGGAGGTGAAAAATTGGGGAAAAGTTGGAAGAAAGTTCTTAGACCTAGAATTCGACGTTTGATTGGGAATTTGACCTTATATTTGGATAATTTGGTATGCATGAACTCATGCGAGTGTGAGGATTCTGAAAATATAAATTTTACCCGATTCCAAGACGTGGGCCCAAGGGCATTTTGGTCATTTTACCTAATTTCACGTATTAGCTTAGAATTTAATTGTAGAATCAGTTACTTGAAGTGTTATTCACATTATGCAATTGAACTGAATAGATTTGGGCCATTTGGAGTCAAATACTCATGGCAAGAACGAGATTTCGAGTTGATTTTTAGCTGGTTCGAGGAAGTGACTTGCCTAACCTTGTGTGAGGGACCTTCCCTTTAGGATTTGGTATATTTGGTAATTGAAATGCCTTGTACGTGAGGTGACGAGTGCGTACTTGTGCTAATTATTGGAAATCCGATTTTCATTAAGTAATTACTAGTATGTTTCCTTTCCTGTTTTTTATTACTTGCACTATTAAGCCTGTTGTTAGCTTAGAAAAGCATGTCTAAGTGACTTAATTTCTTTCCTTGCCCAAACTGCCTTACCTGAATTCTGTGCAGCATGCTAGGCTAAAATTACTTGTTTGCCTTAATATGAAATTTGTCATATCTGAATATTTTCCTGTTGCTGTTGTGAATTTACATTGGGACTACAGATGTGGGATTCCGGCCCCTTGTCTATTTATTTTGGGAATACGAATGTGGAATTTCGGTAGATCCCCCTACACAGTTATATGGAACTACGCGAATGCACCCGGTAGATTCCCCCAGTACTAGGTATTTACATTTGGGAATACGGAATGAAATTTTCCAGTAGATCCCCGCGCACTATGAGTTGGACTACAGGACGGGATCCCGGGAGATCCATTGGATATGTATATTTGGGACTACAGGACGGTATCCTGTGAGATCCCTGATTGTTATTTTTGGTGCTGAACTGTATTTCTTTCTGTGTTTACCTTGTCTTTGTAATAGTTGTTGTTGCCCTTTATATCTTGTGTTACTTTTATTGATGTACTTATTTATACTGTTCTATTATACACTGTTGAAATTTGTATTTTATTTAACCTCAGTAGGGCCCTGACCTTCCTCGTCACTACCCGACCGAGATTAGGCTTGGCACTTACTGAGTACCGCTGTGGTGTACTCATGCCCTTTCTGCGCATGTTTTTCATGTGCAGATCCAGGTATCTTGACTCAGTCCTATCACCCTTGAGGCGAGGCGACTGTTCCAGAGACTTTGAGGTATATCTGCCGCGTCTGTAGACCGAGGAGTCCCTTTCTACTCTCCCTATTGTATTAGCCCTTCTGTATTTCCTTTTCCTCGTTAGATATTCTGGAGGTAGACACTAGTAGACATTCCAAGGCTTGTGGTTTCATGGGTTTCCGGGTTTGGGGAAAATGTATTAGTTTTGAAGATTTATATTGTGTATGCCGAGCGACACTTTTAAACGCTGTTATATCATTCTATTTCTATTTTAAATTGTTTTCTACCGAAAATTGGTTTATCTTCTGCATTTTAGGCTTACCTAGTTGTAGAGACTAGGTGCCGTCACGAGGGTTCATGGAGGGCAAACCGGGGTCATGACAAGTTGGTATCAAAGCTATAGGTTCATAGGAGTTATGAATCACAAGCCGGTTTATTAGAGTCTCGCTGATCAGTACGAAGATGTCTGTACTTATCTACGAGAGGCTATGTAACTGTTAGAAAAATTTTCACTTCATTTGATTTCCTTGTCGTGCGATATTTTGGACATCACAATTCTAAACTTATGTCTCTATTCTCTCATAGATGGTGAGGAGACGCGCTACCCGAGATGATCAGGCACCCGCGCCCCCTACTGTAGCCGTCAGAGGCCGGGGCCGGGGTAGAGTCTGAGGACACGCACACAGTGCAGCCAGAGCACCATGCGAGCTGCCGCCGAGGTACCACCAGCAGATCCAGTCGGAGCCTAGGCACCTGATACGCCCACTACCACTACTACTCTAGCCCTTTAGGAGACTCTGGCATAGTTCATAAGCATGTACACTACTTTGGCTCAGATAGGGTTGTTTCCCCTTGCTGCAGCTACGTCTCAGGCCAGGGGAGGAGCACAGACTCCCGCCACCCGCACTCCTGAGCAGCGAGTGCATGCTGAGCAGGTCCCTGAGATTATTCCTGTACAGCCTGCAGTCCGAGATCAACCCGACAACAGGGCAGCGGCTTCCGAGGATGAGCAGCTGAGGCTTGAGAGGTTCAAGAAGTACAAGCCTCCTGTTTTTAGCGATCTAGCATCGGATGATGCTCTGGGATTTCTAGATGAGTGCTACCGCATTCTCCGTACCATGGGTATATCAGGATCGAGAATGGTTTCCTTCACTACTTTCCAGCTTCAAGGAGCCGCCTATGAGTGGTGGTGCACCTATGCGTTAGACAGTTTGGATGGGGCTGCTTCACTGACTTGGACTCAATTTTTAGATCTGTTCCTGAGATAGTATGTTCCTCAGAGCCTCGGGGACGCATGGCACGCAGAGTTTGAGCACTTGCCCTAGGGTGCTATGACTGTCTCAAAGTATGCTGTCCGGTACACTAGTTTGGCTAGACATGCCCCAGCCTTGGTTTCTGTCACGACCCAAAATCCCTCCGAAGGAGTCGTGATGGCACTTAGTCTCTAAACTAGGTAAGCCTAGCATTTACTGAATTAACATTAGCATTTATTGACATTAAATTATATAACT